AAAAGACTTTATTGTCATAATTATCTTCTGAATGGCCTATGGAAGAGAATCTCAGAAGAGAGATTAAGTGAATTTAGGAGAAAATAAAAATACTTTTTCTCAGGTTGTAAAATATTGTTAAAAATAATAGCTCTGAATTTTGTTTTTACCTGAAGTGCCCATTATTAAAAATACCTAAAATCTCTTTTAACAATAAGATTTCTCACAAAATGTAATTCAATTGCAATTATTTCATTTCGCCTAACATATAGAAATAATAATTTAGTTTTCTTACCCCTCCTTACCCCACAATAGGGATTACAAACAATTTTGTGTATAATCCCAAGCAATTCACTTTAACTGTTTATTCCAACAGTGATTTTTTTTCCTCCCCCCTCACTTTCATTCTGGCTTTAATAATTGCTTTTCTCACATTTACATATTAATTTGCACTGTAAATGCAAGTAAGGACAAAACATATTCCTCCTGTAGTCAAGGGACAGAATTTTTAAAAAACGTTTTAATTTAAATTTCATTACTTTAAGTTTCTTTATATATATATATATATATATATTTATATTCATACATAATGATTTTACACAGATGCATATATATGTAATAACCCCATGCTTCCTTTTGTTCCCCATCTTATTTAGTTTCCTTTCTCTTTGCATCTTCTCTTATTTTCTTATTTTGGCTTTGCTCTCGCTAAGAAACCTGTGTCAACAAGTATATGTGTCCTTCATATTTTCTTTTGTGCTCACTCCTCTACAAGTCTATGTACATATATGTTGTACATACATATAAAGAAGATCATATGTCCACCTCTATATTTTGTTTTCTACCTTCTTGAAGTCATTTGGCATAGGTTTAAGTCATTCTCTCTCTCTTTCTTTCTCTCTCCTCTCTCTCTCTCTCTCTCCTTTTTTTTTTTTTTAGAGAGATTTTTGCCATAGGGCATGTATAGGGCATGTGTGCTTATCAAAGAGTCAGAGAGAAAGTGAGAAATCACCACCCAGGGAGGATGGCCATGCTGCAGTCCCTTCTCCTTCATTCTCCTCTTGGGATCCTAAGCATGCATGTATGCACATCCAGAGTGAGTTTCAAGCCAGGTCCAGGACTCAGAACGTGATTGGCCACATGGGAGTCCAGCACCTTAATCACTGTGTCACCTGCTGTCCACTAAGTCATTCTCTTTTAAAACAACTACCAACCATGTGAATACAGTGTTTCAAAACATATTCACCACTCCACTATTGAGAGATGTTTGTTTTCAGTGTTTATTTTTGTCATTATAAACAATGCTGTAGTCAGTGGCCCACATTGATAAATCGGATTTTAAATATCTAATTACTGGATCAAGGGGTCTATGTATCTTTGGCAAAAGTAGAATTTCTGGGTCAAAGGTATATGTATCGTAAACATTAATAACTATTGCTAAGTTTCTTTCTAAAAAGGTTATAAAATTACACATTTACATCAGCAATGTATGCTTGTCAGCAGAAGATATATAGTTTTTTCTTCAATTTTTGTCAATCTGATACATACTTGATTTGTTTTCCTAGCCTACTAGTAAATTGCAATGTCTTTAGGCTATTTGAATTCTCTTTTATTAATTCTCTTCACATCTTTTGCATATTTTTCTATTGTTTGTCTCTATATTTTCAGTTCGTAAGAACTATTTTTTTTGTGTTAGCCACTTATCTGTGATTTGCGCTTTGAATATTTTTCCAGATCTATTTCCTGTCCATTGACTTTTTGATGTTTGGGAATCATATATTTATATTTGGTCATTGGGTCATTGCATAAAATTATCTGCGGTGTTTTGATGTATATAAATAGTTTTTGCTTTCTTTTATAGTTTTAGAGCACTCAGTCTTCATTCTGTTAGATTTTGTCAAAAAATTGTCATGTAAGATTTTGTTTTGGACCCACAGTTAGCATAATGGCTATGTCGCTGGACTCCCATGTAGTTGACCGCGGTTCAAGTCCCGGACCTGGTGGCTTAAACTCACGCTGGGTGCGTGTGCGTGCGTGCCCAAGATCCCAAGAGGATAATGGAGGGGAAGGGATTACGATGTGGCCATCCCCCCTGGGGGGTGATTTCTCGCTTTCTGTCTCTCTGTCTCTTTCTGTCTGTGTGGCGAGTGCACACGCCCTATAGCAAAAAACCTTTCAAACGCCCTATGGCAAAAACCTCTCAAAAAAAAAAAAAAAAAACAAGATTCTGTTTTTACATTATTATTTCATCTGAAATTTGTAATGTAATAAGGGTCAATTTTTCTTTTCTTACAGTTGGAGAACCAATTGTTCCAGCACCATTTATTAAAAACAAACAAACAAACCCCACATACTTTTCATACTCTGCGAAGCCAACAACTCTATCAGCTGAAATCTGTTTCTGAACTCTCTACATGTCCTACTAAGTATGTTTGTCTTTCTAAAATATTTGATAGTTTTATTTATTGATTTCTTTTGTGAGCAAGTGAGACAGAGAGAGAGGGTTATGGGGAGATGCCCACAACAGAGTCTTCATGCCACAATCCAGCTCTAACCTCAGCTAGTCAGGATCAGGTATGCTCATGCACACACCAAAATGTACAGATAGAGCTTGGAACATGGACCTAGGGACTTCCCATGTGACTTCAGCACTGTAGAGCAGCCTGTTAGTTCACCACCACCACAGCAGGCCTGTAATGTGTTCTGATAGCCACCTCTATAGAGAATACTCTATTACTTATTATTTTTTCATGCAGTTTTCTTGGTTTGTTGGGTAATTATTCTTTTAAATGAACTTAAGTTGTCTAAGTTAAAAAACAAAAACTAAAACAAAACTCTACTAGGATTTTATTTAGAAGTATATTAAATTTACATTTTAATTTTGGGAGACTTTTTGAAAAATTTACACATTGTTACAGTTTAATAGCTGCTTTATGTAGGTTGCTTTTGTTTATTGGTTTATTGGTTTGTTTTTTAGGTTTTTGCCATAGGGCACCTATGTGTGCTCACCTAACAGACAAAGAAAGTGAGAATCACCATCCCCAGGGGAATGGTCACATTGCAGTCTCTTCTATTTCATTTTCTTCTCAGGATTTTAGGCACACATGCACATGTGCCTGGTGTGATTTTCAAGCTACTAGGTCTGGGACTGGAATCATGGTCAGTCATGTGGGAATCTAGTGCTTTAATCACCATGCCCAGGTGTTGTTTTTTTTTTTTTTTTTTTTTTTAGAATGTAGTCTTATATTTCATAGCTTTGGTCACTATTATATGTGAATTTTCTTTTTTTATTTCTATTTCTAGGTGCTTAGTGCTAGAAAAGATCAAAGCCATTGATTTTTGTATATTTATCTTCTGTCTAGTTACCTTACAAAGTTTTATTAATGCTATGCTTTTGCCCTTCAATCTGTTGGACTTCTACATTCTAAATCATAGAATTAACAAAATTTATAGTTCCATCCCTTATTTGCCAATATTTATAGCAGATATTTTTCTTACATTTTTCATTTTCATTTTTTTTTAGAGGTTTTTGCCATAGGGCACTTGTGCTCACCAGAGATACAGAGAGAGACAGAGAGACAGGAAGTGAGAAACCACTTCCCGGGGGGATGGCCACATCACAATCTCTTCTCCCCCATTCTCCTCTTGGGACCTTGGGCGTGCATGCACATACGCCCAGTGTGAGTTTAAGCCACCAGGTCTGGGACTCGAACCGCGGTCGACTACATGGGAGTTCAGTGATATAGCCATTACACTAACTGCTGGTCCACATTTTTCATTTTCTAAGACTTTTAAAGCAATGCTAAAAACAAACAAAAAGAAATGAAATAAAAAAAAAGATTGGTAGTAGCAGGCTTTCTCACTTCTGATTATATGTTTAATTTATTTTCCACTTAGAATATCAGAAGTTATAGCCTGGGGTAAACAATATTTATTATAATTGAAAAGTTTTCTTTACTTTTGTTTTATTCAAACTTTTTTTTTTCTAAAATTGGCTGCTAGATGTTATGATATATCTCTCAGTGACTGTTGATTTGATTGGCTATATTTTTCCTTTTTTGTGTATAGGACTACATGAACAGATTTCCTTATATTAAGCCAACTTTGTTTTTCGGTGCTCTTTAAAATTCCTAGAGAAATGTTTACCAGAAAGTGTCAAATGTTAACAGCTATAACTTAATAAATGGGTTCCATGATCAAATTAATTTGAGGAGTACTGAACCAAAGTTAAATGGTACTTCCCAGAACCTTGGAAGCTAATGTGCATTGTCACTCTTTAAGAGATTAAAACATAAAGTGTTCAGTGAAATGTATTGGACCATCCATTTTTCATGGACCATCCAATGGGACTAGCTTAGAGCAGAAATGTAAATATGAAAATTATCAATATATGCTAAGATTTACAAATGTTTTTTGAGAGGTTTTTTTCACTATAGGGCGCGTACGCTCGCCAGACAGACAGAGAGAGACATAGAGATAGAAAGCGAGAAATCATCCCCCGGGGGTGATGGTCATGCCGCAATCCTTTCTCCTCCATTCTCCTCTCGGGATCTTGGGCATGCATGCACACGTGCCCGGCGTGAGTTTTAAGCCACCGGGTCCGGGACGTGAACCACAGTCATCTACGTGGGAGTCCAGCGACATAGCCATTACGCTAACTGCTGGTTCCCAAGATTTACAAATATTTTCAGCAAGTAAATCATAGTGATAAAATAAAAGTCACAACCATAGAATGCTAATGCCTTATTTTTGGAGAAAAATGCAATTCATTTGTTAATATTTTGTATTAATCCCACTTATTTTTACTTACACTGGATATTTGCCTGCGTAGGCCCAAACTATTGATGTTTGGCACTATACTGACCCATTTAAGAGCACAAGGTGATCCAGAGGCTAGTGGAATCCGAGATCTAGCCATTGTTCGAAGTTGATGCTAGGAGATCATGCAATTGCACCTGGACCCACCATTCTCTACAACGTAACCAAGAGTATCATGACTAAGGCTTACACATAGCACTCACCAATGACATATTCCACCCTGAAGAAGTCCTTTCTGGGGTCATATGGACGATTGAAGTCAATCTGGATGTAGTAAGTCTTCCCTCTGCGTACAATCAACTTGTCGTTGTCATACCTGTCAGTATGGTGCTCCACTTTGTTGGTGTCCCATCTCTCTTTGAACAGGTGAACAGCCGTGACATTAAGGTAGTCTGTACACAAAGACGGTGGGAGGAAACCAGTAAGACCTGTGGTTTAAACACTAACCCAACAAACAATATTATTTTCTCCAGAAGAAAGAAAGTAGTAAGGTCAACTGTAGACCAACCTCTTGTGATAGTTTTGGTTTGGAAGAGAGAAATCTGCCATGATTTCTTTCAGAACTACACTTGGGGACCACTTTCATAGAGATAGTTGCCTGTCTTAGAGATCTGAATATAGAGAAGCTAGGATCAGAGTTGAAGTCTTCCGATTCTCAGTCTCTCACTGGTTTTCATCATACAAGGCTCTTACCATCAGGACTAGTCCCTCACTGTATGGTTAACTAGGGATAATCAGGGAATAGTCAGATCAGTTTTCTTACTTTTCAAAAGGGAGGAATCAAAGCCCCAAGGAAACTTTTTAAAGGCAAAGTTGGCCATTAATCCCAAATTCTCCTCTTACCCCAGAAAGGGTCAGATGCCCCCTCCTACTGTAGTTCTGAAAGTACATCTGCTCCCTCAAAGCAAGAAAGAGAGGGAACAGCCTGGAGAAAAGAAAACAACTTTCTGTGCAGTATGATTGTTTCCACTAACCCAAGTAGAAACCAGTCTCCCATTGTCTTAACTTCTAAACAACCCATCTGGAAATCAAGACTCAGTTTGATACCAAAATTAATATTTTTCCTCTGATTTTTCAGAATCAGGCATGTGAAGTCAGTTAAATATTTAATAGTTGCCTAGTTTTGCATGTTAAACTCATTTCCTCATCATAAAATGCAGACACTAACATTTATTTTAGAGGCTGACATGTTATGTTACAAGATCTGACAGAAGATAACACACGTGAACACGACAAAAGACTACCCGAGCTGACATGTATGACAGAACTTGCAAAGGGTCTGAGAACTTTAGAGAAAGATTTCCTCTCCTCTTGCTGTTTTCCTATTCCTTTCTGCAAAAGAGCACTGAATGTGAAGGTAATCCTAACTACCCATCTACACCGTAATTTAGGTGATCCAGTCTAGAGACTGGTTTCTGTACCGTAGTCTCCCCCTATCTACAGAGCAAGCATTCCAAGATCACCAGTTGATGCCTAAAACCAGGGTTAGTAACAAACCCCACTTATGCTATGATTTTTCCTATTCATACATAAAGTTTATTTTATAATTTAGGCACACTAAGATTAACAACAACTAACAATAATGAACAACTATAACGATATGCTAGCATCACTACTCTTGTGCATCGGGACCATTGTTAAGTAAAATAAGGATTATTAGAACACAAGCACTGCAATACCACCACAGTCCATCCAATAACTGAGAAGGATGCTAAGTGGCTAGCAGGCAGGGGGCCTGTACAGTGTGGATATGCTGGACAGAGGGGTGATTCACTTCCTGCACAGGACAGAGCAGGATGGGGTGGGATGTCACCATGCTACTCAGAATGGCACTCAATTTAAAACTGATAAATTGTTTATTTCCGGGATTTTATTTCCTTTCTTTCCTTTTTTCTTTCTTCTTCTTCTTTTCTTTTTTTTTTTTTTTTTTTTTTTTGTTTGTTTGTTTTTGTTTTTGCCAGGAGGTCCTTACACTTGCCAGAGAAACAGAAAGGAAGGGAGGCTAGCAGATGGCATGGTGATTAAGGTGCTGGAAACCACATAGGTGACTCCTCAGTTTGAGTCCTGAACCTGGCAGCTTGGAAAACATACTAGGGGTGTGTGTGTGTAAGATCCCAAGAGAAAAATGGAGAAGAAGGGATTGTGGCATAGCCTTCCCTCTGGGGGTGATTTCTCACTTTCACTCTCTCTATCTCTCTCAGGTGAGTGCACACATTCAATGGCAAAAACCTAAAAAGAAAGAGAAAAAGAAAAAGAAAAAAAGAAGTAAGACAGAAAGACAGACAGACAGAAAGAAAGACAGACGGAGAGAGCACTTTCTAGTGGGCCTGGTCATGCTTTAATCCCTTCTCCTCAGTTTCTCCATCCTGTCAGAATGTTGGGCATACAAGTACAGATGTCCAGCATGTTACTCAAGTTGCTGAGACCAGGCCTTGACTTACAATCAGCCATGTGGCATCCAGCTTCCTTAACTACTAGGCTATGGGGCTGATTCTGTTTCTGGAATTTTCTATGAGTATTTTCAGGGTATGGTTGGCTGAGGATAACTGAAACCACTGAAAGCAAAACCATGGATAAGGGGGAACTACTGTAGGTGCACTGGGAGCTCTAAAGGGGCGCCTGGAGAGAAGGTTGGGGGGCCTTCTTGCCTTCCCTTTCTCTCTGTTGCATGGTGCACAGTTTGCCCCATGGCTATAAACAAAAAGCCCAGCTACTGAGCTCTGACCCAGGCTGGGGCATCTTCCTACAATGTTCTCCTGGCTTCCTTTACTTTTACACAGCAATTCTACACAGGGCACCTGGTCCTCTTGGGGGTGCCTTTTAATTTTTTTTTCCTTACAGGCAAAACCAAGAAGTTGGATTTTTAATATTCTCTCTAGTTCTAAGGTCTAGGAATCTCTGAAACATTCATGATAAATGTGAAGTTCAGGCAATTCTGAGTTGGAATATCAAGTCTCAAAATTACTTAAGAGAGGGAATTTGAGCTCTCAGCATATGAGCTTTCTCACCTTGAAAATGAGGATACTAATACCTTCAGAACGTCTATGGAGATTTAATGGGATAACAATGCCATGCATCAGGCACTCTGGCCTACAGATAGTGGGGTCATAGGCCTCCTTGTTGCTCACAGAATAAGCACTCTGATGGAGCCATTTTACAAGACATGATGCTCCGTGGGTTATCCTGGCTGCAACATAACAACAGACAGAAAGTGCAAGATGCAGTTTTATTTTACCTCATCTCAGAACCCCGTATAGTACATGGCCCCCTGAAGGGCACTTTCTTATTGGTACACTGTAAGCTGACGAGATTTCATTCTCTACACCTCTCTCTTCCAAGTTGCCTTTTCCTAGGTTCTCTGGTCTTATTAAGGGCATGATCCCCAGTGTTAAGCCAGCCAAAGAAAGAGCTAGAGAACCATGAATGTACCACTTGAATGTCCCAGTTGAATTAACTGAAGTGGTCCTTGTTCTTAGCTTTTTAGCATACATTTTATGGATAGCTAAAAGCTGCAGTTCTTAGGAATGGGTTTAGTCCATTCTTCATTCATTAGTATCAGCAGAAGGGATATATGCTAAAACAGCCTTACAGACTCTTGGAGGACAAAGACTCTCTGGACCACCTGGTACCACATGAAACAGTCCCATGCCACCTCTTGTACTAGGGCTTCTAGCTTTCATCTAAACAGTAAACTTATTATCTCTCAGGGCTAATAGTCCATTTTTTTTAACAGTGAATTGCATATTTGATTGTATTTATTATTGTTTTTAAATTTTTTTCTAAGTGGCATGTAAACTTACCAGAGAGAGAAACAGAAAGCAAGAAAGAAATAGAAAGGAAGAAAGAAAGCTGCCAGGTCCCGGACTTGAATCACTTTTGACCATGTGGGAGTTCAGCACCTTAACCACCATGCCACCTGCTGGTCCCCAAATAGTCTATTTGAAAAATTTTAAGAAACAATTATTTATTAAATTTGATCTATCATCGTTATTATTATTTTTAATTTACTATAGGTCACATGTACTCATGAGAGAGAGAGAAAGTGAGAAAGTAAGTCACTAGATCTGGGACTCTAACCATGGTCAGCCATGTGGGAGTCCAGCACCCTAACCACCACACTCACCTGCTGGTCCCCAAAATAGTGCATTATTAAATAATAATTATGTGGAAAACCCTCTTAAAAATGATCTGCTTTTTTGTGGTTTTATAACCATGGACTTAGGTCTTTGCTCCTGGATAAATATAGGAAAAAAAATCCACTATTGCAGAACAAGAGCTCCATAGTTAAACAGTTTGGAAAATGTTGACCAAACTATAGTTAGTGAGGATTCTTGACTATAGCATTTACAGGAGACTTTTAGATTTTCTTTCTTTATTTCTTTTCTTTTAAAAATTTGATAGAGGATATATGAGCTAACCAGAAAGAGGCAGAAAGAGAAAGAAAGGGAAAGTAAGAAAACACCTTCCTCCCCCAGAGGGGATGTCCACGCAGCAATTCCTTTTCTTCGTTCTCTTGGGATTTAGGGCACACATACTCATGCATGCCTGGTATGTTTTATAAGCTGTGGCACATCAAACTACACAGGCAACCATGTGAGATTCAGCTACTTAACCATAGCACCACCCAACTGGCCTTATGACAAACTTTAATATACTGATGTACACTACAAATCTCCTTAGGTGCCACATTTTAATGACCATGGGAATTTTTCTTTGGAGATCAGTGTTTTGCAGAATATGCTTTGAGAGATACTTCATTACTTATTAATTATGCAAACTTAGAAGAGTTACTAAATCTCTCGAAGCCTCAACTTTCCCATCTGTAATGTAGAAATGAAATATCCAGTGCCTGGCACCTAGTAAATTCTCAAAAAATGTTTATTGTTATTATTGCAAAAGGTAGAATAACATAATGGCTAAGAATACTGACTCTGGAGCAGACCGTCTGAACTCAAATCCCAAACTCTGCCAATTACTATCTTAATGACCTTGGACAAGTGAGATAAACTTCCTGTGCCTTTGTGTCTTCGTTTTCAAAATGGAGGTGGTGTGGGGACTAAGGGAGGAAAAGCAGCAGGTGTTCTATTGCAGGGCCTGGCACCATGGGAAATGCTCAGGAATTGATGGCAATCATCATGATAGTGCTGAACATTTAGATGGGCCTTTGGAGTCAATGGATAGGAAAATCAGATATCTGAGCGGGCACGTGGAAGGCTAGCATTTGAAGGATGGAAGTCACCACTGTAAGCACGCTTCCCGGGAAGCTTTTTAGATGTGACCTTCCAACCCTCCCAGGGAGGCATGCCCTTTTACACTCCCTATCTTCTGAGTAGCCCTGCTTCCCCTTTCCTGAATTTCTACTGGTGAATGAAATCCTTTTGTCAGTTCTCAG